ATTTTACAGTTGTCAGAACGATTTGTTTATTAAAACTCATTACATGTCTGTAGTTTATAATAGCTTCAGTATGTGAGCACTATAATTAGAAATTATTTAATCCATTAAATAGATTTGTTTAATAGTACACAAAATGAGATTGTACTAAAATTTATTTTCCCTTTTATGGAGTTTACTTATAAAAATGAATAAAAAAAAAAGAAAATATACAGTTATATTATTAATTTTATATTAGAAAACTAAAAATATTGAGTTGGCTACTCTTTAATTAAAATAAAGTATCTGAGTGTTACTGGCATTGTAATTCCTCAAATTTTGAAATTGTTCATAATTAAATTGGTTGAATTTATTTATATCAATGAAGTGTTCCGTAAAATGATTTTATATGTTTATTTATCAGTACTTCTCTTTTTCTCATTCTTTTTAATTAAATACGAGAAGTGCAATCAATATTTAATATATTAAATATTGAAAAGTAGAAAGTCATTATATAAGATATAATTCATCACAAAAACCAAGCTAACATAGCATGGTCGTATTTGTCTATGCATGGAACTCAATGATAATTCAATTATCGTGCTCTTCAAACTCACGTGCTAGTGCATAGAAAATAAATCACCAGCTGAAGGAAGAGGTGCCAAACCACCCGTAACATCAGGCAATTGTGTCAAGTCAGGAAGATTAGAGATATGTGACTTCACTTCTGATCTAACTGCACACACCTTTTTCAGTTTCTCTTTATAGTCCTGCAACATAAGATTTACTGAATTAGTAGTACATTTGTGAATAGGTCACAAACCAGTATTGCAAAAACATATTTAAGATCATACATCTAAAGTTGTTTGTGCTTGTTGAAGTAGTTGCCTTTGTGCTAAAGTGTAATCTCTAAGCATAGTCAGTAGCCTTCTTCTATCTTCCATTTCTGCTTGTAAACGTCCATTATAATCCGCTAACAATGCAGCAGCTTCGTTTACAGCAACACTTAATTGATCCGCAGCTGCTCTGTCAGCTAAATTTGCAAGAAGCGACACTTCAGAAACTTCTGGTGGCAAAGATGCAATACGCTCTCTAACACCAGCGTCTGAGGATGCTGTGTTTTCCAAATCCTGAAATGGAGAAGGCAATTTTAGTAATCACCTTCCGACTGTTCCATGTTTGAGGCACTTATTTATAATTCTTACATGACCCATTTAGGTAAAACTTGGATGAGAACAATGCAAATTTAATTTTATAAAAACATTAATTTTGTTAAATAACAGTAATCATTACTTATGAAATAATAAATCAACTACGTATTTGTTACTTTAAATTAAAATTAATAGAACAACTTTTACTACTACAGAAAAATGATAAAATTATTAAATTAAATAAACAAAAACACATTTGTAACGAATTAAAAATAAAATTGATAACTATAAATAGAATAAAATCACAATTGGGGGTGGATGTATCAAACTGTGAATGTGCTTGCCAATATGCCTTATGGATTCAACATATATTTTTCTATGTATAAGATAGTTTATTGCTAACGATACATATTCCGTTTGTTTGTTCTGTTTATAAGTGGTATTAACCATTAATGCCTTGATGAGTTCCTCTGTTTCTGGTGGATCTCCAGCAGGAGTACGTGGACTTAATGTAACATGTAGCTCTTTGGTTCCGTCTACTTCAACTTCAGTCTCTGATTTCTTCCTCTCCTTCTTTTCTTTCTGTAAAAAGCAGCAAACATTTACTATTAAGTAACAACGCTGATTTCAATTTAATGTTTAATTTATCTACATATTAAATTTTTAATTACCTTTATTTTTTCTATTTCATTTTTGAATTTCTTTTTTGGAGGTGGTGTTCCTGGATCTTTTGATGTATCTACAAAAGCAGTCTTAAATTCTGCAATTTGTGCTTTATCATAAACACCTCTCTCTTCCCAGATTTGAAGTAATCTGTTTAACCTTTCCCTTGTCTTTTCATCGAAGCTTTTCATGTGTTCAAATGCTTTTGGTAACACCGTCTCAAATTCCTTCCCAAATTCTGGACCTTTCTTTTTACTGTTTTGAATAACATCATTTGCCAGATACATGAACATTAACTTCCGATTATCCTTCACTGAAAAATAGATTAATAGAAGTAACATTTAATGAAATGATATATTAAACATAAAGTTGATTCATAGCGAAAGAAAATGTACCTTAATATATCACATTTTAAGAAGTTTTAAAGTAAACTGATTTTCAGTTTATTTATGCTGAAATTTAATTTATAATGATTTATAATAAAAATACGCAATATTGAACATGTTCAAATTAGGTTGTAACTTATATGAAATCAGAAAGGATATTTGATTCTGCCTTATGAGGAAACTAATTACGAAAAAAGATAAAACTAAGATATCTTCTATCATTAAATATTACCATGACTATTTATATAAACAAAAACATGTTACAGTTTTACATGAGGACAAACTACAGAATTTAATCAAATCAAAAATTATAATTTGATATAAATATAATAAATTTTTATTTTAGCAAATATCTATTGGTAACGGAAGTATAACATTATAGTTGATATATTTCGAAAAGTATGTCTACAATTACGTAGAGAGAATTAACTTACGAGTTAACCTAGAAATTTGAACAAATGTTGCCTGAAAGCCTTTTTATCACAAATCTTTTTCAAAATCACATTACGACTAAATAATGTTCATGATAGACAATTTTAAATATAAAACTCGTAAGTAGAGGTGTACTTACGATAATCCTCACGTACCTTTACACATCTCTTTAAACCAGATTTTCACGATGGTCGGATGATGTTTTCTGTGGTGAATTAACCAAAGAGAAAGTGTTTGAATGCTTTGTTGAGAGGGATTTAAGTCCATTAATCTTTTCACAAGTGCACTTTCTGTAAACCCTGTCATTTCTAAATTCTAACGTTATTTCGTCAGTAACGAATATATAAAACCCTCCGTACTCCGACTTACGAACCGCACAACTGTACGGTGTACGCACAACTGTACGGTGTACGCTCAACAGCTGAAATACAAACATGAACCGCATATACAATACAACGTTACGGTCTACCGCATATTATTTCCGGCACTTGCTCTACACGCGCCACCTGCTGTGAACATTTCAAACTACATTGCATTATGTTATCGATGTACAGATTTACGATCTATGTAGTGATCACTGGTTGTAATCGATAATCAGGAAATTGAATTATCGTATATAGAGATGAGCAATATTTGCTGCAATTAAGGATTAATAACTGCAACTTAAGGATTTGATTATCAATCCAATAATTAAATATTTGATTTAATTGGTGTATAATCGAATGTGATTAGATAAAGTATAGGTACTTAATCAACTCGAATTAATGAGTAAATTACTTATTCAATCGTCAATTGGATAATGATTAATTATTAAAATTCCCTAAATCGTGCAACACATGTTCAAATACACACCTATCAAATATGTATTTCATATAAATATAGTTTTATCATTTTATCATTATAATTTAAAAGTTTATCAAAACAATGAGTAGTGAGTCAATATAATCATGACGTCAGTTACTGACGACTGATTTCATTAATTGATTAAATCTCTCGCAACATTTATGATTCATTCTTTTGATCGTAAGCATTAATTATAATTGATAAGATAAACATTTTAGTCAATTATGTAATGCATAATTCTGGTTGTATTTTTGATGACTTCATTTTACAATACTTATTCATAATATTTACACATGTACAGAATCGCATATACAATATGCGATTACTATGCACATACAAGCATAGTATCACAAGACTATATAATAGTTTTATCATTGAATTTATCTAACGAAATCAAAACAATGCTTGAATAACAACAATATTCTAAATTCAACTTAAAAAAGCTATTAAACGAATTGTTGAAATAGTATGCAACACCAATGTGCGCAAACTGAACAGAACCATGCGTCAGCGAGTAAAATTATCAGAATACTTCTCTATCGGCTGCACAATTCGAGCTACATATTCAGGTTGCTGCATTTTGGTGAACAGAGTGCAGTAGTGATTCCCAGAGACCAGTGCGTGGATCGCATTCGACTCGGGGGGTGAGGAGGGATTATGTATCGTTGGGTTAGTTCGTTCTTCGTACCTGGCAATTCGTATTTCGTGTTTCGTTGCGCGTAAGACTCGTGCGATCCTCGAACGAGGCACATCGTAATGGCCGCGACCTGACTTGGGTAGCGTGCATGCGAACTACCGTGTTCGCGTTACGTGAAGCAGACGATCGAGAAAGGGGGCGAAGTAAGACGAAAACGAGAAACAGAAAGATACGTCGGGGTTTAGGGTTACGCGATTTCGGTGTCGCCGCGAGTGCGTGTGGTGGTGGGCGAGGCGTGATCACAGAACGGGAGTCTCGAGGACGAAGAGCCATGAGTGAGGATCGTAATGAAGATGATCCCATAATGGATCTTTGGTACAGCAACTGGGAACAACAATGTGTCGAGGCATTGGAGGCAGAGCCGGATTACGAAACTCAGCTGCACAGCGAAAAAGAACTCTATACTCAGCAGATGTGGACAAGTTTTCAGACGACGGCGTCGGCCATCGCCCAGCTGTACAAAGGCGAGCTAACATCACGATAACACTGACGGTCATTCGTATCCTTCCCCTGTCTCGTCTACGAGACGAGCCTCGAGGACTATGAGCAGCGAGACGTCTCGCACTCGTTGTGGTTACCATTTTGCGTGACATCCATTTTGTGCGACGTATGAGACGATATGCCACTGTTCTCGCTTCTCGTTTGCTTCGATTTCCTTTTTTCGCCGCATATGCATATCGATCTGATCGTGTAACCAGTTTCTGAAAGGCTTTGCTCTTTTACAGATCGTACGCAGGGTGTCTCTCTATGGTTACCCTTCCAGACTGCCGCAGGTACCGTCACGTCGATGTACAAAGGTGCGTGCACTTCTTTGGTCTATCTTGTCAACAATGCGAGCAAGATAAACCTTCGTTTTCTTTCTTTCTCCCGTGCTCTCGCCACGGTTTCTCTCTCGCACTCTCTCTTTCTCTGTATGTTTCTTCTTCCTTCTTTTTAATATTGTCCTTTCTCCGTCGTTTTGCCCCTTCCTCTCGTTCCTCACCCCCGCTATTCGGTCATCTTTTTGTGCAGCCGTCACTCACTCGCACACACGGATGATGTGTCTGCATATAGGTGTGCGTCAGAATGCTTTGCACAGCTGACCAATGCTGAAGGTCAGCTGTTAATTGATGCGAACTTTTAAGGCTATTACGAATATTTATAGAAAAGAGAAATAAACCCTTGTCATTTTTCGATCATTATGTTATTGTTTCGTATGTAGATGTAAATTTTCGGTAGAGATGAACTAGATAAAATTGTTTATCAATCACTGCTACTTCTGAATTCACTGATTCACGTTATGTTTGTTTTAGCATGTGTGCTAACATTGATATTTATATATAACTGCATAGTTTATGGGTAAAAGTGATTATTGGCACCAGAACTTCTTATTTGAATATTATTTCAATTGTTACAGTTTTTAGTAACAAATAAATATAACATCAATGACATTTTTGCGTAGTAATTTTTGCAAGTAATTTTTGATTTTATGTTGCTAGACATGTCTCATGCATTTTGATTACAGAAATGCATTTGATATATTTTATTTGCTCTGATTAATGCTGCATGCCCTATATTTAATTACTTATTACATTTAGATATTTAGTTATTTAGTATTTTTAAATACTTAGTTATTGATACCTATACATTCATATTTATAAAGTATAACAGCTACGTATGACAGAATAGTCATATTCCTTTCAAAGTTAATAGTTGTTTCTGCAATGAATTATAAGTATTATTTCAATGTTTATGTTATTCATATAGTTGCTTATAATTCTGATCCTACATGTAATAAATATTTCAACAGATTCAGTGGACAGCGTGCGCCGGTGCAGTGAGCTAGGTGGAGAAGTGGGTCGACAGAAACGTAGTAAAGAAATAATGAATTGGGCTAGAAAAAAAAGGCGTATGATCCGTAGGGAAGACCTTTTAGCATATCTTGCTGGGAAACCACCTCCTCCTCGACCGCATTCTCATAGGTAAATATTTCATTGAGATACTTATAACTTAATTAAAGATATCCGCAGTTTCTGTGTAAAGTAACTTCAGTTGGGAAGTCAAAGTTCTTTCTGTGTAATTCACTGTATGTAAAATATAAATGTCTTTTTTTTTTAGATTTTAATGCATCAATTCCTTCTGTCATTAATGACATAGAACGCATGCATATAATACAAATATAATATAATCTAAATTTTATCATAATTTTCAGGAGTTCGCCGAAACCAAGATCGTGTGGTTCTCCCCCTTCACAAAGTTCAACACCAAGTATGGTTGTCTCGCCTACATCAACAATTGGAAATGACCCTGATCCTGAATTACATACATTTAGGGAAGCAATTGCATTATCTGGTAAGAATATAATTTCTCATCAATGCTAAATCAAATTATTGAGATTAATTACAAACATATTCTTATACTCTACGTACTATTCATTTGTAGTGGCATACAGTTATTTTGAAGAATATTTGAATTTTAAACTTTCGTTTACAACAATTTATGTTGTTTAAATTTTGTCTCGAATTAATTGTGATGTTCTGATAATTGGATAGGTTCACCAATGGCTAGGCGTACTGGGAGGCAAGCCGAATTATCGGCATTTATTAGTAGCGAACTTGCTCGACATCACAAACGGCCTGCTTCGCATGATGTGGATATGGGATCTCCCACGCACAAACGTTCGCGTTTCATGTAACAGCGCGCGATATGTAAAGTAACTTCACTCCCTTGTTCCCATTAATTAATCGATTGATCAATTAATTATTAACGGTTCATCTCCCCCAACATAGTTCCCGATTAAACATAATCATTTCAAAAAGATGGCAATGATTTGCATTGCTATGTAAAACGTATTCGTATATTTTGAATATCTCGTATTAATTATCGAGTTTCTCCTTAACTGTTGATGAAGTGTCACAAAGGCGCAACAAGGTGAATTGTTCGGTTACAAAGTTATTCTAAAGCAGTTATTCTAAGACAAAATTTACCGACTCATTGTTTAGAGATATCGTAGCACGAGTATGTTTAAAGTTGGGACACATGAAAATCAATACTGTACGTCGTAGAATCTTGTTTTGAAATTATTTATTTATTTATATACGGAACGAGATAATGGTAACGTACTTGAAAATATCATTCGAAGTGCCCATATGGAGTGAATGTCATCGTTTCCTGTACAAGAAATCTGTAAACATAATCTCTCAATTCATTAATTTGTAAACTGGCAAGAGGATTTGTGCGAATTGTAGTTCTGGTATTCTAATCAAAATCTTTTGCACTATTGGGGAAGGAGAGGATATCTAGAACAATTCTACAAAGTAGTACGGCGTACCACTTTTCGGTTTTTGGGATAGAAACGATTAAAGATGTAAAAATCTTTACTGTTGAACAAGTAACTGTGTAAGTTAAATTCTCATTTAAAACGCAGCTAGCGAAATTCTTCTTTTGTTTCTGCTTAGGAACAAGTAAACTGTTTCCCTGTGTTATTATTTTTATAGAATATTATACAGTATTATAATATATTTTATTAAAAAAAAAAAAAATAATAAAAAATGAAGGAAATTAGTTGTTAAAGTTTTTGTAATTTTTTTTATATTCGTGAAAAAAGGTTGAATATTTGTCACTGATATAGTGGGTAGAAGCGTGTAAAATGTTTTCTACAACCACCTATTTTATTGTATAAGTATTTTCTTAGTAATTAAATGTAGAAAAAATATTAATAATGGAATTGGAAAAAGCTATCGAACTAGAGATTTCAGCTCAACCAAAAATGAAAGAGGAGTTTTCCAAAGATTTTCAGTTATCCGTGAAGATAGAACAAAAGGACGCCTTACTTTTTTGTAATAAAGGAAGTGATTAAATTATCAAGATTACAATTCCTACTGTATTCCTCCTTGTGAGTTTATTAAAATTTGCCAGTTGTATTATAAAATTTTGATAGCTGCTATCGACGTGTTGTACACACTGATGGTGTGTACGTTAAATTTAATAGCTAACATTTGATGGATTTTGCTAATAACATCGCGGCGTGTACCATGTACCAGAGGAATGTTCCATAAATGATATGTTAATGTAATATTTTCTGATTACGTGTCCATGATTGTAATCGTGTGATGAAATTGGGGACGAGGAGATGTTTGTAAAATATTCTTTAATAATCCAAAGGATTGCTTAGCCTTCTGATTATGATATTGTTACGATTATTATGTGATCATAAGTAATTGATATTTGGAGGCTAACATCGATACAAAAAAAAAAGACCATTTTGTGCGAACTTTGTTGGCAATGAAAGGGAATGATGAAAGATCAGAGATAGGATTAACAAATTAGTAAAAACGCGATCAAAAACAAAATGAAGTAAAGAAATGCGTTAATGTATTGCCCGGTGTATCTAGTTCTGTAAATTTTACTCTTCAAACGCGGAAGAGAAATTTTCTGTTGTACGACCTCTATATGTAGAGTAACTATAAAAAAAGGGAAATTGTTTTTTGGATAATATATTTAATTTGTTCTGTATTCCTTCGTTTGTAATTTTGTATCTGCTTTATATGTATTCGTGTGCGATCTATCGGAAGGAATCGAGAAAGATTTTATTCACTGCACCGTTTTCTTTTTCCATGTCATGACATTCACGCCAAAGTTTTAATTAATATGTGAAGTCGAGCTTGGAAGCGTGAGATTTGACGAGGCCGTTAAGCTAAGAGTGAAAAAGTGAAGAGTGACGTATTACTTTTTCCATGTGTCGCGGGTGCTCATAATTGTATAACTACCGGTAAAATTCTTAAATAGATTTCGTGTAGTTATAAATCTTAAGCAAGCTAGGATAAGCAATGCTTATATCAAACAAGGAGCGATAAATGGAATTAACGGATTGGTGGGAAGGAACCCGTGTGAGTAGTTTCTTCCAATCTCGGTATCCGATGTCAATTGGGTAGCCATGGAGAACTTCATGGTATTTTAGAGTTGATTTATTTCTTATGACATATACAGGGTGTCATGTAAACCAGTGGTACGATCGAGAAGAGATTGCTGCCATATGAAAAATTACTTAGAAAACATAGGACAAACATTTTTCATGAAAAATCTCAATTGTATGAGAGTTGTACAATTGACACAAGGCTATTGTATACGCAGAAATAAGTCGGAAATGTGAAATAAAATTTGATTCTGCTTTCGACTTTTCTTTTTCATATGGGATCATTCTGTTTCCGGTTGTACCAGCTGCGGATCACTCTCTATGCTTATGGGCAAAGGGCTGCACAGTCGTGTTGAAATGTGCCTCGAGACTAGGTCGACGCAGAGACAGTGCAATGCAAAGGAATCTACTTTTCCACGACTGCTAATATGGACCTAATCGATACGCGAGCTTTCCGTCTACGGCGTGGCCATTGTCGGCGAGACACGGCAGCTCTTTGCTTCGTATGCATGCATATATCTGTGTATGCACCACCCGCGCCTACCAGATCGTATGTGTATAAATAAACATGCATATTTCATAAGAAAAAGCATTATGTTCAAAGACGGAGCGATCTAGTAACTACTTTTTTAAGATCACTGTAAATGTATGCTGTTTTTAGGCATCGTATCCCATCGCAGCTTCTATCTTGACTCTCGAATGCCGTCGCTCGCAAGGAATTTCGGGGCCGTTTTTGCGCACGAATACCCGCCGGTATATTTATTTAAGGATGAAAACAAATCGATTTTCTTATTCCACACGTGTCCCGAATTTCCTTCCGCGCGTCGACGTTTTACAGAGTTACTTGGAAGCGAACTTGTTTTTTGTTTGTTTTGGTTTTTATTCTCTCAACATTGTTTGAGCACCGTGCCGGATACGAGAAAAAAAGTTGTTGTTCACTTGTAAATATAGCGTATGTTCATAACGATAACGATAAATAATAGATTTAGGGGTATTGATAATATTATTATCATTATTAATATTGACAACTATGCGATAGCTTTAATAATATTTATCATATAATCGGCAGTTAATAAAACTCCAAGGACTCCACTTGACTCTACTTTCCTGACCAGTTAGGTAACGCAGGGTCATGTTTCTGAAAGTTCCATTCCAACGAATTGTAAATTAAACAGTACCGAGGGATATCTTTGTACGTGTAAAATTTAATCGTGCAGCTTGTTTCCCGGTTATACTTTTCACAGTACGTTCTCGAACTTCTGTCATGTTTCTGCTAAAAACCTAATTGGAAGAATGTCAAAAGAAATTACCAAGAAATTGGTACTCTACCGTCATTGTTCTGCGGGTCGTTGCTTTTTTTTTTTGGTAAAACTATTTCGTACAAAGGTAACTCTTAACAAAAAAGAATACATAGGAGAAAATGACACACTGAAGATGCCATACTTAGCAATATCTTATCGATAAGGAAAAGCATACTTGATGATGGAACATCGAGTTATTTTGTACAGACACTGTCGATTTTGTTTTTTGTTTCTGTCAGTGGAGGGAGACGCGTTCTCTGGTTTATCGAAACTGTTTCGGCTCGCGGCCCGAAGCTAGACGACCAGCAGTTCGCAGAATCGAATCGGCGATTCTTAATTAATTATCGGATCGAATGTTCGTGCGAGATTCTCGCTGCTGTAATCGGCATTTTCCCATGTTGCATAATGCAAGACTAAATGCCGTGCACGGTTAGACGACACTTGGAGGGCAACAAATAGAATTCTCCCACGTGTATAGAGAGCTTTCCCTTTCTCGTGGGAAACGTTAATCTTATTAATTATAATCTGTGCTGTGCCTCGTGCCGAAACGAAGTATTCTCTCCGTCGATTTGTAAACAGCGATTGCGATCGTTGTGCTCGGTCGAATGAAGTCACGAACGCTTTAGTTTAAAACAAATATACATACACACAAAAAAAAGGGAGAGAAAACATATAACTATTTATTAATAAAAGATTCCGCGTACAGTAACTGTTCGTTTTAAGCGAGTCTTTCTTTTCTCGAGATTTCTTCGAGATAATTTCTTCGAGATTATATAAGTTGATGTAGGAAAAGTGTACACCGAATAGAACGTCTTTCATAAGGGACTTTTAGATGTTACATTAAAGAAAAAAAGAAGAACAATTGTTATTTTTTGAATATCAATGACTTCCGTCTTTTTTTCTAAAGGGATGCGTGATTCGTACTCGCTGCCAAAAGAAGTTTCCAATAATGAAGTTGCCATCACGCAAGAGAAACCGACTGTTCTATATAATTTGTATAGTAGTAGACGAATACGAGAAGAAAAAAAAACGATAGCTTATAGGGCTCTGTAATTAATCGATTAATTGTAAATGACGACGATAAATTTAAACCGTTTTTATATTAAGGAATCAATGGCTCGTTAGGTTAAGATTGGATCGGACGATTAAACGACCGGTCGGTGTGATCGCTGTATTTATTACGCATTAATCGATTAATCGTACAGCCTTAGTATGTGGGATCGCAAGGAATCACTTCTGTATCATATCTTTTTCACAGTAAATGTAGTTCGTACGCTGGGCATAACAGGTGCGTAGGAACGTGTGTGTACGTGGTTCACAAAATGAAAAAAAAATATTAAAGATAACACGTGGCGCCGTGAAAAATTTTTCTACGAGCCGTTCTGTTTTTATTCTGATGCACATTTAATCGCAACATGTCGTACCCTTGTCTCCCAACAAACGTACTACCGTACTATAATAATTGCACGTACTAAAAAAAAAAAGAGTCGTGATATGACACAAAAATATTTATGTTCGCGGTGAGAGCGAGAAATGGTGCTGTTATTTTTTGCGAACATAAGGAGCTTCTATATTTTTGCGTCTCTTGTTTGTAAGATAATCATTTACAAATAAAATTACGATGAAAACATTACTCGAATGTTGTGTTGCCTTACTTCGCATGCGTACGTCGTCCACGCGCGATGATTGAGAATAAAAATAGAAACACAATGATCTCTTTTATACAAGATTACCGTATTTACACGATTTTTATTTCCTTTGCATTCGATTTGTACAATTCGTATGAAAATTCTTTCGTTTACACAATGAACGAACGACACCAAAGTTGAATTACAATTTTTTTCTCTTTTGTTCTCCTTTACTCAAAGGTTTCGCAGGCGTACATTTCTCTTCCCTTGACATTTACACTTTCATTTACATTCATAAGTTCAACGGCAAGTACGTTCTACTAGATTAAGGCACCATACGTAGTACCAGAGATAAGGCTAATCGCGGCTTTACACAATAGCCTGGTTATTATTTAATACTACAACGTCCTCACCATTTGCCGTATCTTTATGGCGACGATTATTCGAGCCTTTCCGGACAATTTCATAATTCCGAAAACATATGCCGAATAGTGGCTCTACGTTATACGTACTCGCTGATCGAATAGCAATCGGAAGCCAATCGATTCCTTTGTACACAGGAATTCTCGCCATGCATCTTAGGCCACGCGGAACCAATCCTCTTTATCACTGTTACTATAACGCCAGTACGAACGCTCGTGTAGCTCTTTCTTGAATATTTATGTACAATACGTATTTTTATATCAAAACATACTTTTATGCTGTTTCATTAGGCACTTGAGAGCTTATTGGGCAAGATAAGAATACTTTACGAAAGAACGTAAAAAAGCTTCACAGTCTGCTGTCCTTGATGACGTTCTCGGGGGCGTTCAATGCCTTCTTCCGGTTCGCGATCGCGTTCATCAATTTCCTTTTAGGGCCGAGCGGTAGTTTGAGGGCCGCGATGTCGGCCTCGGTGAGCAACATCAACGCTTCCAGATCGATTTGTTCCGATTCTAAAACCGGATGCGTGGACGACAGATTATTGGCAACTAAGAATCTCTGTAACGGTGTCCATTCTTCGTCAGTTTCCTCCTCGTCCTCCTCTTCTTCTTCTTCTGTAAGATCGATCGCGACGTTATCATTTGTAGCCGATGTAAAAGAACACGACGAAAGCCGTTTATTGTACATACAGTTGTACGAGACGATTAATTATTGTACAATAAAAATGTCGTTCTACGAAGATTCTTTTTCTACCTGAAAGTAAATCGTCGTCCCACATGCTTTGCCTGCGAGCCAAGCTGCCTGCACTTCCTATGCTGATCTCCTCGTTATGCCCATTAGAGCTAGCTCTGTGGCCATTTATGGATCCGTTTACAGAACCATTCAGGCACGAGTTACCGTTTTGCTGATGCGAATCCATTTGCGTGACAGGCAGGTTCTCGAATGTAGTTGTTATCTAAGGATTTAAAATGGCTACTGTATATTATGCTTCCGGTTAAATGTTGGATCGTGGACAGAGAGAGATTAGCAAAAGAGACGAGCCGTAACGCGAGATTCCACCAATTATACTAAGAACAGTTTATTTTCTTTGATTGAAACGATCCTTGCGTCTAACGACTTTGTCATTTTTTATGCAGGAAGTAACAGCTCTGGCATCAGTTTCATCGGATTAACATGATTTCTACGAAGTAATTAGTGCTATGGGTGATGACGGCACGGGACAGTTAGCGTATAGTTATACGCACGTTGCGACGGGAGCAACGCGAAGATTAGGTAGGTAATTGATATTCTACCTTCAAGTTTGAATCACGTTAATCGTAACCTTCTTATTTTGATAACGTTGACAATGACAATAATTTTGCTGGTGCATTACAAATGGATTAATACGCGCAGTGGTGTGTAAGTACATACTGCACACTTAGCAGCCTTGAGCGACCAGTTAATTTAACAACTATATTAAGTGCTGTTCGAATAATTATAAATGAATGGATTCTACACGTAACTGTTTTATGAACGGTTTCGTAAAACCGTTTTCGATACGTGCGCCAAGTTCCGCTGAACCAAGCATCTTTGAAAACTCGAGAACACATTGTTCGCGTCAGCGGAATTGAATATTGTATAGAGTTATTAGAATGCAATCGTAACGACGAAGGTTATTGCAACACGAATTTCATCATTCTGCTATTCTGTTTCGATGTGTCTTTATTTTATTTTGGCTTAATATAATGTTTCTCTGTGTTATTCCAGCAAGAAGCGATCGAAAACGATGTGAATTGTACGAGAAAGAATAGTAATGAAAATAAATGTAATGAAAATTAAGCGGATACTTCACTTTGTTATAAAGAAAGTCGTTGTTTATATTAAAGATTAATTTTCAGAGTAGAATTAGAAATGACTTAATTATTTCTTAGCACACTGCTACTTGAAAACAAAATTTCTTATCTGTTACTATTTCATTTCAACTTAATGAAAAAATACATTATATGTTAATTTTAAGACAAAGTGTTGACGACATTTTGTAAATTAGATTGCAGAAGGAAGAACTTCCTTAAACTTGAAAGGGTTGAAGTTGACGCGTTTTTCTTATCAGTGCAGAAACAAAACAGTCGACACAGAAACAACTTCACATATTTTAAAATTATATCTTTAGAAATAAGACTATTTTTTGATTGTTGCACGTACTTAAAGTATAATGTCATACATGCGCATAAACTTACTGCTCTTCTAAATGCGACTGATCCAAAACCGGGTCGATTGAAGATGCTTGCAGGTTCTTGCAAGAAGGCCGTATCTCTGATGTCATTTATTTCCTCCTCATCTTCCTGGTCTATGTCTTCGTCAAAAGTACGGTCGCCTAAAAGGTCGGGCGTGCTTTGCGCTTTACTCAACGTACCCCAGACATCCGAGATTTTCCCTCTTCTCCCCATTTGCTGGGCTTGCGTTTCATAAGTTCCTACGTACATTACCTCCGAGTCCCTTCTGAGGCCGGTAAGACTACGAATTGACTTTTTTCCGTTCACCTCGATCTAAAAACGTAATACATCCAAACGTTTATTGTAGCAGAATCGATTACAAAATTGTTACAGTTGTTACAAAAGCTGAAATCACTTTTTGCAAAATCAATACGATGGGAAGATAAAAAATTAAATTTATAAAATTGTTCTTCTGAAAATGGGAAACTGCGACGAGATTAACATAACACAATTTGCGTCGCCCACAAAAATTGAGTCAACGTATTACTTTTTTTAGTAGACTGTGGTGCTGTATGCAAAATAAATTGTTTATGCTTGATATCCAAGAGAAAGAAAATATGAAAAAAATTGTCTTGTGTTAATAATCTCAATTTTTTCTTAAGCTTTCACTGTTTTATCTTTCACTCACACATTTTCGTAGTGTTATATATATATATAAATAGAAGAAAATACAACAAAAAATTATTGGATATACAATAATAAGCTCAGAAGATGATTACCATGAGTCTGCATTACCATGAGTAACAAAAATGAATATTATTAGACAATATTTATTGTATTCAAAATTGTTGTACTGTCTATGTAATGCAATATTTGTGTTCTTCTTTTAAAATTGTGTTACATTTAATATTCAATAACTGCAAATTTCGATGAGATAAGAAAGTACTGTAAGAAAATTGCCTCGATCAATGCGCAAGATATACGTTCGGAATTATGCCGAGGAAGTTAATGGTCATAGAAGAAAGTATGATTTTACGCATCTTACCTCTACAACTTTAAAATCGTCGACAGCCTTTCTTGCTAAAGCTTTTCTACATACTGCACTGCCATGTTTCTTGGCGGTAGTGCCGACGATGTCGCTGAACGTTGGTGAAGGCTTCACGCGACCTTTGAAGGTCAATATACTGGGCTTGTAAGGTAGAATACCAGTTTCATTCACTGTAGCTAAATCCAATTTCGTTCGGTCTTTCGACAATTTCTTTTGCTCCTTTTCGGCTCTAATTTCCGCCATTTTCTGCCTCTTTATGTATTCTTTTAACCTGTTTACAAAACCAGTGAAATTAAATGTTACGAATTCCGAAATTCTCAATCACAAACGATAATGATTTTTGTCCTGAATTTGTAATAAACATCCGTGATCAGCTTGTACATGCTTGTATAAATGTGAATTGTTGCGTATGATGTGATAATCGAAAGTGTAAACAATCGTAAAATATTTATTTCGAGATCCATACTTCATTTAATAAAACTTTCATTAGTCCTCCATTATAATAGCGTTTTCATTACTTCATACTTTATTATAATGAGGTGTAAATTCCTTTGTAGTAATTTATTTGGAGTTCAAACGAAGCAGTAATATTTATAATTTCATTTATTTTGTAGTTAATGTTCTAACAAAATGTTTTAAGATGTTTTAAAATAATGGAAATTTAACTATGTGCGTATATCATATATTTCAATTTTTAAGAAAATAAAATGTAAAAGTGTTTACCGTGACAATTACTCGAGCGAGAAATAAAACGTTTAGTCATTTATGGGTATAGTACTTAATATGTATTTTACTCACAAATGATATCGTGTTCGGTGGTTACGTGACTTATGCTAAAGTAGTAAATAGCATTCACATTATGAACGAAGCAAATGGGATTTCACCAATTTTGCAATTATCGTAAAATAAGGAAGTAAAACAAAGCTACGTCTATTAGGTAAAAGAAAGTTATGTTCCCTCGATAAAGATGTCTACATAAACTAAGCAGAAAATGTAAATACGTATTTTAAATCAACATAAAAGTCACAATTCAATCAATTAACATGACAGAAGTAAGAAAGTGACATCATTGAAATGTTATTCGCACAGATTCTTGAGATATTTTACACACAGTTTCTCTGGAATTTTAATATTAAAAATTCTACTGTATTGTTTTTTAAGTAAAATTCACAGCAGTATCCAGGCAATATAATTATTGCATAATTATTCAATATAATCGGTCGATGTTCTCTCACACTTCCGTCCCTCACATCATATCCATTTCCCATTCACAGAAAATACCTTTTCTCAGCATCTTTCTCAGCCTTCTCCCGAAGTATTCGACTTTTCTTGCGATTGTTCAGTTCTTGATCAGCCTGCGCCAAATCTAGAAATTGAAGGATCATCTCCCTCCCGTTTATGGCAGCTAAGTCTCTGGCAGAATGTCTATCGATGTCTAGGGACCAAATGTTACAACCGAATTTCGCGAGGAACTTCACGCAATACTCGTGGCCCCTCGCTGCTGCTAGGTGAAGGGCTGTGTTACCGAAGTAGTCAGTTTTGTCGGGGTCACCCCTACGAAGAGAATCGTTAAAAAAATTAATGAAGCGCGCCCTTTCTAGTTTCCTGTATCGCGTGGCCGTTTAACATTTCAGCGATACATTATTATTTACTAGCTCAAATAACGTGCGATCGTCGGCAAACAAATTGGGTTTATTGCATTAATTAATAGCTTATGTTCTTGGTCGTGGTCCGACGAATACTTAATTAATAGCTGACGTTGTTAGTAATTGAGGGATTAAAGATCGTAAATTTGAACATAATCGTTAGACTGCGGATTTTATGCATTTACAATAAAAAATGGCTAGCTGAAATGGCAAACGATGAAGATGTTAGAAGAATTTACATTTTTCTCAACAGTTTTCCCGATTTTACAATATATAACATTGTAAAATTATATATTCTATTCTATTCTGCTAAATAATTATATTATATTCTGCTAAATTAATTAATTATATTATATTATATTATATTATATTATATTATATTATATTATATTATATTATATTATATTATATTATATTATATTATATTATAATAATTATATTTAATTCTGCTAAATAAAAAGTTTGGCAAATTTAGACATTATCGTCAAAAATTGGCGTTCGTTGGTAACGGAGGGGATGACCGTATCCTGTCATACGAGCGGAACAAAGTTCCGGAAGGATAGGGGTCTTGTATCGAGTTTCCATTGCATGTTGACCACACTGAAGCCAACCGAACGACATCTGATCTTGTGCACAATAGGGCACGTGCGGTCTTTCAGCTTTTATATCGTTCTTTACAGACCATCAGTGATCGTGTATGCTGTTACTCCAGGCATGTACTCTACTTAATTTATTTTTTATCGAACTCGATAAATAACTCGGCGAACAAGTTATGAATTTCATATATCTATGGCATACTTTTCTGAGAATCGCACGACAGCCAACAACAATGTTGAACTGGCAAACTCGGACACTTGGTTCATCTTTATTTACAGAGAACCTCAGTGGGATATGAATAGAATAATACAAAAAGCATATTTCACATACTGCTTGTTTAATAGTGGTTTAAAACAAATGGTATTTCACGAGAAAAAGTTTTAATTAAAAATATTTTTTTAGATAAATATTATATTAATTAAAAATATAATTTTGAATTTTGATTACTGTACACAACAGATGCATACAGTTGGCTAATTTGTACGTCTGCTATTTTAAATATCGGACAGCAAAAACGAAGAATTTTTGATGTATAGCCATTGATTCGTCAGTTCAAATTAGAAAGTTTTTGAAAATAATGAGCTTTAGACTTGAAAAGAAAATGTAATTAACCTTTGTTATACTAATCATTATACTGTCGACTTTCATGCATGCGTGATACACTTTCGAAAATGCAAGAATTTCGATTTTATTTTTACCACAAGTCATCCTGTAATTAGTAAAATCATTTTAGTTCTCGTAAAATTAAATGTAAAATGAGAATCCGTACATAATAAAAGATGTACTAATATTAATATTATATTTAATAATATTAATATTATTATAATTAATATTATATTTAATAATATTAATATTATTATAATTAATATTATATTTAATAATATTAATATTATTATAATTAATATTATAT